TTTATAGTTTGGACCTCTCACACGTTGTGATGTCATATTGTTAGAATGATTTAATAAATTGAATTTATAATATTTTACTTGTCTATAAATCATCATCATAATTATTAAATACACATTAAATTATAAGAAGATTTCTTAAGTCACTTTTTAACTGACTGGTAATTTATTGAATACACATCACCAACCTTTAGTTATTTATCTTATCTCTCCCACCTGATTTAAAATACATGTTGAGCACGTAAGAAAATATAATATATTTGAAACCCAAGTAAAATGGTGACAATACCATTCGCAAACCAATAATCTTGTTGAAAGATTAAATCGAATATTGTGTACTTCTCTCACCAAATATATTTAGTTATATAAACAAGATTGGAATTACTTTTTACTATCAATATTATTTGTGTATAGAACTATGAGACAAAATATAACTTAATTTAAAGCAGTACTTCAAAATATTTAAAAATCTCAAGTCAAACAAAAAGAATATTATGATAAAAACAAAGTTCAAAAATTTTTTCAAATCAGTAACAAAGTTCTTATGAAGTGTATGGAAACTCAACACTAACATCATGATAAGTTTGAAGAAAAATGAAAAGGTCTGTACTATATTCATAACATTTTTGATAAAGATACTTACAAACTTCGTTTGATGGAAGGCAAAGTTCTCAAAATTCATATAATAGAGATCATCTCAAACTCTATAATAAACAATCAGCACTTGAACTCATTATAATTATTAATTAATTTTGTGAAGTAAAGGATCCTGTTATTATATATTATATTTTTAGCACAATAATATTCATTTAAACTTTTTCTTTTATTTTTACTTTTCTATATTTCTTATATTTTTATCCAATAGCAATAATTCATATTTTTATATTATTATTGCATTATTTTAGTTTAAATTTTATTATTATTCAATTTATCAATCAATTCATACTGTTATCATTTTGATAGAACTTTAAAATACTCAAGAGTATTTATAATATTCAAAAAGAAAACTTGAATATCTTAATGACAATTCACAGTCTTAATAATACTTTATGACTTTAGACTGAATATAAATTAAAGTATGATAAGTATTTATAAGAATCACTTAAAGATTGGTAACAATTATATTCTTTTAATACAATAACTGGACTGCTAGAAAAAGTTTTCAAAATCTCAATGTCAATTATAATATACGTATTAAAAATGTCTTTAAATCTTTGAAGTCAAAATATAAGATATGATATTCATATTATCAGCAATACGAGATCGAAGATAAATATATGAACAATATATTATTAGCAATATAAAGTCAAAGGTAAGTTTATGAGCAATATATTATTAGCAATATAATCTCAAAGACAGATTTATAAATTATAATAATAATTCCTTTATTTAATATAATGTTCAATAGATTTTGTCACAATATGTTCAAAAAGTCTAGGATAAAGATGATAACTTTATAGTGCTCCTGGCAATCTTGCTTAAGCTACTATAATTTATATTGATTCAAGATCTGTATAACTTCTTATAAAGTAATTATACAAGAAAATGAATACTTTGTCAAAAGAATGTAGAGAAAAGTTTGCACTTGACTACCTACTCTATATAAAATGCAAATTACTTTTCTTTAAATGATCAAAACTATATAATAACTAATTAGACATGATAATTAAGAATTACTATTTAAAAGGACTTGTTCATATCTGATTCTAATAACTACAATACATATTGCTTTTATACAAATTCAAGATATAATTTATTAGCTATACAAATTCATGTTCGCTATATCACTTAAATTCTATTGGTTCAATATTCGTTCACTCATTTACTCGTTTGTTTAGTTATTTATTTGTTCGTTCACTTGTTTGCTTGTTCACTCGCTTGTTCACTCACTTCATATGATTTGATCTTTATTCAATAAAATATGAAATATGTATAATCCAATAATATAAAATATGATGAAAGATTATTATACAACAATACTATTATTACATCATTTTATATTTTAAATCTTATTGGTACTTTATTTTAATTTTTTGTTACATTAATTTAATTAGTGACACATAGATTTTACACAAATCCCTTTCTAATATTACACAATAGTTATCATATTCAACATGTTGTAAATATTTATTTTTATTAATTTTACTTTGTAATCTATATATGTAAATAACATATAGATCAGTATAACTCAAATTTGCTACATATATAACATGAGAATTGACTTGAAATAAACTAAGCAGATTATATTCTGGTTTTAACTTTTGTCTTGTCTTTTTCATTTTTTTTATTTGTTTTTTTTGTTCACTTTATTTTTGTTTATTTGTATTTTATTTTTTTTTGTTTTCCTTTTGTTTTTCTTTTGTTTTATCTTTGTTTTACTTTTATTATTTTCACTTGTCATCACATTATCTTTTATCTTATCAATATATTTTTTAACTTTGATTTATAGTGTATATTTAGTTTTAGTATTGTCTTATTATTATTCAAATACACTTAAACATTCATCATATACTTGTATTCTTGTTAGTTCATTATTGTTAATCATCTACTTTTGTCATTTATATCTTGCTTATTTAAAATCTGTCATAAACACAGTCACTGTTAACCATTTCTAAATATTCTCATACATAAGAACTAGAAATGGTAGTAATATCATTTATTTTAAAAATATATGAAACAATTTTTTTTCCTTGAGCTTTCTTTAAAATGCTTCTATTAGTGCTATAATTTTTTGATTTCATAATAAACTTAATGTAAATTAGTTTCATATTGTTGTATAATGAACTTTGATCAAATATTTACTGGATCATTCATACTTAATATTATTGAATTATAAATATTTTATATTTTATTGAAAGAATTTAATTACATGGGATGAGCAAATGAATAAGCAAGTGAATGAACAAATAAGTAAATTAACAAGTGAACAAGTAAATGAATAAGTGAATATTGGATCAATAGAATTTAAGTGATTTAGTGAACATAAATTCATATAGCTAATGAATTATATTTTGAATTTATATAAAAGAAATATATATCATAACTATTAGAATTAGATTAGAACAAGTTCTTTAATAGTAATATTTTTAATTATCATTTTATAGTTAATTATTAAATAATTTTAATCGTTCAATTGAGTAAAGTTTGCACTTTATGTAGAGTAAGTAGTCAAGTACAAATTTCTCTCTATACCTCTTTGACAAAATATTCTTGTTTCTTGTATAATCACTTCAGCATTATTGTTATAAGTGTTATACATATCTTAAATTAATATTATAGTAGCTTAAGTACATTTGCCAGAAGCACTATAAAGTTCTCATCTTAATACTAGGTTATCTGATCATATTTGTAATGAAACCTATTGAATATTATATTAAATAAAGAAATTATTATTATAATTCATAAATCTGTCTTTGAAATAATATATTACTCATAAACTCACCTTCAATATTGTATTGCTGATAATATATTATTCACTTTTGATCTCGTATTGCTGATAATATGAATATTATAATCTCTATAACTTTGATTTTAAGATTTTGAGAACTCTTTTTAACAGTCCAGATTATTGCGTTTAAAAGAACACAACTGTTATCAATCTTTAAGTAATTCTATTATTAGTACTTTTAGTACTTATTTACATTTAGTCTAATAATTATAAAGTATTATTAATACTTTGAATTGTCGTTAAGATATTAGAAGTTTCCTTTGAATATTCCTTTAATATTTATAAATACCTTTAAGTATTTCAAAAGTCAAAATGATAACAATATATATTATTTTATATAGAGATAACCCTATATGGAATGTTATAATTTTTAGCAAACAACTGTGTTAATTTCAATTAAAATGAAGTTACAGTAAATTTCAATCATATTTGCTATAATAATAAGATCTAAGATTATTTATAAATTTATGTCTGAGCCACAGCTGCCACTCAAAATGTTATTAGCTAATTAATTCATTTTCCAGCCCCATCAGCCATTTTTGGTTCACACAATCAAATGTTCACTTTGTCTGGTTTTGTTGCAGCATGCCCCATATAATACATATTCTATTCATTTTCATAATCACGCGTAATCTAGACATAAGAAAGTACGAAACAAGGTATAACAATTTTTTATTATTTCTCATTCATTATCTTCATCGTCAGGCTCAATATTAGGTAAACACTAATTATGAATGAAAATATAAATAATACTCGTAATTATATGGCTCGATTAATATAAGTTTACTTACCAAGAATTCTGCAACGACATCTTTAGAAGTTGTGTCATTGAGAACGATAGGAATGAACATCTTTAATCCGAAATAAATAAAATTAATTAATAACGCTCAAGTAAGCTCAACATCCCTCGTATAAATAATTTACTTGGAGTTTCAATGTGTTCTTTGCATCCACCAGTATTATAGTAGTTGTTGATGCTTTTAATGCTGAGAAGCTTGGGCTCAAGACTTTTTTGTGATATTTGACATCTTTACTAACCGGACATCCACAAGTTGTGTCTCTTTGATCCATAATCCACTATACAAGTAAAATGTTCATTAAAAAAATTATAATAAATCACATAAAGAGCGATGAAAAGAATTGCCTCTGTTTCGTCTGGTAATCCTTTAATAAAGCTCCTAAGACAGAATCTTGGAGATGTCGTCGAGAAGCTAAACTTTATCATATCAGACTTCTTGCCGACTAACGTGCGGAGTGGAACAACCAATTGACTGGATATCATTCTGATACAACACCAATCCTGACATCCATTCGATTCATCCATTTGTATCGGTTCACACTCTACATTTTCATAATTTACTAGCAATTTGACGATTGACTCGATATTTTCAGTTGAACCATCGCCAGACTGAGCGTTTGATCTTTCAAAAGATATTAATAATATTTCTGATGAAATAAATATAAACTCTGTATAAACGAACCTTTTTATAACGAATTCGTGATATAATGAACATTAAATTTTTATATAAATTTGACATAACGAACTTTTCGAAATCTTTTATTAATAGAACCGTCAGTTCGTTATAAATAAATTAAATTACCTGATATTAATTTCTTCTTTAGTATTATCATATGATATAATGCAGCTTTCAACATCCACATTTTCGTGCAGTTTAAGTGCATGATAGAAATGGTTCAATAAAATCGAGCACTTAATTGGCTCCTTACTCATCGAGTTATTACATTCGTATCTATCAAAGGCTTCTCTTGGCAATTTGCTGTTTACTGAAATACAGAAATATCACGTTATAAAATTTTTATTGCGAATAAAATGAGAACATGTTTCTTTTGCCTACTCTGATACGCCTTGTTGCATCTTACACCAATTTCCCAGTCTTCTTGACTGACCGAAAGAGTTACAAGCTATATACGCATTATAGATAGGACTTTTAGAAGGAGCATGATTTGAGCATCAAATAAAAGATGCATACTAAATCATTATTAATTTGAGCTTTACTTGGCAATCGAATTTGTAAAGCTTCAAGCCAATTAAGAACATAGGTCAAGTCATTTGAGGTAGCTAGAAAGGATTGATGGGTAGAAGAATACTGGAAAGATAATTTTGATTCATCCATATCTGCAAAGATTGGGAAAATCCAATTAAATTTTGGATCGCCGGCCAATCAAATTTGTTGGATATTAATACACAATTGGTAATTAGTAATAAACATATTGGAGAGTATTGTTACAGTAGTAACAGTAATTTCGTAAATTCAAAGAAAAATTCTGAATTCAAAAAATAATTGAAAATATCAAAAATCTTTAAAAAAAATAATAACCTCTAAGAAATAACAAAAATAAAATATTAGATATTTATTTCATCACTTTTTCATCATTTTTATCATTTTTCATCATTAATTATTATTTTTCATCACTTTTTCATCATTTTTCATCATTTTTCATCATTTTTCATTACTTTTTCATCATTTTTCATTACTTTTTCATCATTTTCATCATTTTTATTATTTTTTATTATTAATTATTATTTTTCATTACTTTTTTATCATCTTTCATCAATTTTTCATCATTTTTAGTTTCATCATTTTTAGTTTCATCATTTTTTATCATTTATCATTTTTTATTATTTATTTCATTATTTCTTATTCTTTTATTATTGATTAGATAGTTATTATTATTTGAAATTGTATTTTTGAAAAATGTATAAATAGAAGTATTATCTGAATCTTAACTCGACATGTTGTAATTAAAAATAAAAATCTCTCTTAACAAAAATCTTTTTTCAAATACTTTCCATCTCTCATATTTTCTTATATACTTCAAATCTTGTATATAAGTGATCTTATATTATATTGAATCTATTAAATTACTGATGACTTTATATCATATTGCACTAAACAAATTACTGTTATTGACTTTGAACTTTAGATCATATTGTACCAAATAAATCACTATTATTGGATTATATCATATTGTGCTGAACAAATTGCTGTATTGGAATTATTGAAATTGGATTATAAGTATTTTACTTTTTGTTATTTGAATTTTTAATTATTAATAAATATTTCTCATTTATGAAAAGAAAGTGAAAGAGTCTTTGTTATTGTTATTACTAATTATATTATTTTAATTCTGGAAATCATTACACAAGTACAGAATCATCCTTTTGAATTCTCTTTATTATTTCTTTATACTCTCTCTCCTCTTTGATTTTTATTCTTTTATAATTCTTTCATATTATTATTCCTTTTTAAGTAAATACAATTTTCATAGAAATGGCATGGATCTTAGATATTTCTTCTTTTTATTTTAATATTTTTATTAATCTATCACTCTCTCCCAACTCAGATTCAAGTTTGTAAGCTAATTTAATGATTAGTGAACAAACTTGTAATAATATACTTGTCTATTTCTTCATAATTCTGGAAAATTCTATGTACATTTTGAAGAATATCATTTTTACTATAATATATTCCATGTACTAATTGTAATAAATCAACTGGTTTATCTTTTAATTTATATTCATTATATATTAGAAGCTATTATGTTCTTAATACTATAAGTTAAGAAGTAGCAAAAAGAGTAAATAGATTTTTATTTTTGGTTTTTGTAATTATATCTTTTAGTTTACAAAATTCTATAGTCTTTTTAATTTTTTTGAGATTATATCAAAAATTAATTAAGTTTTTTGACTGAAAGCTTTTTTATATACTAATATTCAAGATTTTTGAAAGCTAAAATTGAATATAAAAATATAAAAATTTAAATATCTGAAATCTGGTATATTTTTTTATATAATCAAAGAATTTTTATAAATTATCAAAAAATTAATTTGCTTTTTTATTTAGTTAGATATTTTATAATTGCAAAATCAATAAAAGATTTCTAATATAATTTTTGTATAGTAAAGAATTATAAATATTTTAAGAAATCAATTTGCTTTTTTATTTAATTAAAATCTTCAATTTTTAAAAATTATATAAATAAAATAATTAAAAAATTTATATTATATACTGTTGTATAATGACCTTTCGTCATAACATTTTATTGGATTATAAATATCTCATATCTTATTGGATAAAGATTATATC